AGATGGATCTGTGACGTCACTCAAAGTGCAACGTGATGGAGATTTTACCGTGTCTCATTTTAACATGCAAAACAACCTCAAGAAGCTAAGTGGGTTTCAGAGAGAGTCAATGGCTGAAGGAATGTTTGATAGACTCCATTTTTAAGCAGGGATCTGCACCCTTCTCTTTCACTGTGTCTTAACTTTACCCCCCTCCCCCAGATCCAAATTCAGTAATAAAGCTATTCATTCAGGTTAAGCCCTCTTGTCCAAAGCAATTACAAGTATTGCTTTAGTCATTAATTTTAATCTGCTTATTGATTTGGTCATTTAAACCTCGTGCTGATTTCGACAAATGTTCCTGAGAAGAGCTAGTAATTGGGGTTTGAGTGAAATACAATCTAGGAAGTGATTGCGGTCTTTTCTTGTTTGTTGTAAAAAGTGTACATTGCTGTCCTAGAAGACTTAAACAAAGCTACAGCTAGAGAAAAATTACAGCTTTCCCTCATCTTGGCAGCAATTGGGCAGAGGCATGGTTTCTAAATCCTTGTTGGCTTTGCGCCAAAGATGCTTTCTTTAGCAAAGTATCCTGATATTTAAAAAGTACTTAAAAAGAACTGTTTGACCAGAAGTGATCAAGGGGCAAACTGTGTATATACTTATAAGACATTATGCTTTTATAGCATGCCAGCTTCAGTATTAGTCGGTGATAAGTTAGAGCAGTGATGGCGAACCTTTTAGAGACCGAGTGCCCAAACTGCAACCCAAAACCCACTTATGTATCATCGGGCGCCGGGTGGGCGTGGCCCACTAGGTGGGTGTGGCCAATTGGGTGCGTGTGGCCCATTGGGTGGGCGTGGCTGTGGTGGTAACGGCAGACTGGGTGGGACTAAAAAGTTTAATCAATCAATTCCAACTTTTGTGAGATCTTTTTTTTCCCATGAGAAGTTGAAATTGATTGATTGATTGATTGAATCTTTTTTTTTTTTTTTTTTGCACATGGCGGCGGAGGCTTAAAGCGAAAAGGTTTTATAAAACCTGGCTGAAGGCCTAGGACTGGGGCGACGGCGCGCGTGCCCACAGAGAGGGCTCTGTGTGCCACGTGTGGCACGCGTGCCATAGGTTCGCCATCACGGAGTTAGAGTATGCCACTGCTTATAAAGAACAAAAGAAGAGCAAAGATAAATTTGGTTGGATTTCACAACAAGCGCAGGAACAAATTAAACTTCTGAAAGCTTTTTGATCTGAAACGCCAAGTAGAAAAGCAGAGTGAGATGCAGACGGGCAATGGAGGTAGAATACTGGCTAGAAAGGAGAGAGAGAATGAGAATACATAGAAAAGAAGGGATGGAGGGAGATCAAGATAGTACTGTGGGTGGTAGAAAGCCCCAGATCAGGAAGAAGGCTGGGTGACAGGGATGTGTAGAGTTTTGCAACTCCTTGAACATGGATCTCATCGCCCCTGAAGGTTATGCTTTTTGCACACTTCCAATTAAATTCTTAAAAGTTGCTTGATCGTGTAACATTAGCCTTTAGCTTCTATGCCGTTTCTCAATCATCCAGGTCATGGTTTTTCCCAAAGGTGCTTTTTCCAAAAGGCAACTGGACTTTCTTGTTTCCCCCCCCCGCTTTGAAAATGTTTTGCTTCTCATCTGAGACCAAAGCTCAGCAGCCTTTTGGAAACAGTGCCTTTGGGAGACGGGCCTTTAATCAAAATATTTTACAATGCTCCACTGAAAGTTTTTAGGAAAGGCCCCGTGCTTGCTGCCTGCTGACTTTCTTCTGGTGGTTCTGAATAGGGGGCATCTGAGGCTGTCCTATATTATTGGTCTTTGCATCAAAACTAATAGCTGTGATTACACGAAACTTGGAGATGGTCTAAGTAGACAATACAATAAAGTGGGAAAATAGTCTGTGTCATTTTAGGCCATAGTTAAGAGGTACCATTATTTAATATTCTTTATTTAAAAGCTCCCTGCAATTACCAAGATCATCAGCAAGAACTGTTTCAGAGCAATCCTTTTTGTATTTTGCTATTTTTCACTGGCAGGAAGTTTTGAAAGGAGATGCCCACCTAAGGATTATTATTCTTGGAGCGTAACCTTGGTAGGGCAATTATATTGATTGCATAGTTAGAGCCAACCAGGCGTTACAGATTCTGAAAATTCTTTTTGAAGTCAATCAAAAAACAAAACGTGACATTTTTCTTAGTCAAATTTTATTTCTTGATGTGAAATTTATATGTAACTCTTCTGGTGCTTCTGAATTACTCAGGACTAACGATGCACCAGAATCTCAAAATTATTTTAAATAAATGTTAAATAGGTTTTTGCCATCTATGAAAACATCATTAAGAGATAGTTGGTCAAGTCAACCAGGACAAATGCTTACATAATGTGGATTTAAGAAAGAACTAAACTATCGTGCTCCAACCGTGTTATGTTCGATTTACTCAGTATCCTTTTTTCATCCATCCTGTATTACAGACTTCATCCCTGTTTTGCTCAGGAGGAAAAGCGACAAAGTTAAAATGTCTGGTGAGGTTTGACATTTGTGCAGTCTCGGGCTACAAAGAGCACTGAAAGTAACCAATGCCTTAAAAATGCATCATTCATCGCAAAGGGCAATTTGGCAGAAGGTAGATCAGCCAAGCAACCACGGAGAAAGGGGTATCCCAGTGGAAAAAAATGTTTTGAAAAGCTCACTTTTTCACCTGCTGTTTCCTGCAATTAAAACCCCAGTTAGAGGAGGGCAAGCAACGCTGTAGTCTTGCAGGACTGCAACTGAAATTACTAGCAAACACGGGCCATTAACTTGAAAAGGTACATGCACTTGAATTGAGGTAGATAGGCTTGTTTTAGACATGCTGGCAGACTTGATGGCACAGTACCAAAGCATCATTTTGTAGTCACCTAAGTTCCCTGTCGCCAGTACCAGCGAAACTCAAAAGTGCAATGCCCATCAAGTAGGAAATGCCCGGATTCTGTGGGGCAACTGCCCGAATAGAGTTATTTTTAAAACAGTATTTTTCCTGTTTTATCACTGCCGATGTATATGGAATTGCACCCATTTTAAATTGTTACTCTGGTCCTAAAGCAGTGGTTCTCAACCTTTTTAATGCCGCGACCCCAACTGGTCGTAAGTCGAGGACTAAACTGGTCGTACGTCAAGGACTAAACCGGTCGTAAGTCGAGGACTACCCAGCCGGTCGTAAGTCGAGGACTTTCCTGCCCGGAAGCGCCACGCATGCGTGGTTCCGCCCCCTGCGCCGGCCGAGGCGTAGCTGGCAAGCGGCAGAGACGGAGCAGGCCGACCACCAGCTGGCCCAGCCCAAGGGAGGTAAGGCACCCACCGGAAAAGGGGGAAAAATGGCGGACAAAAAAAATGGCAGACAAAAAAAATTGCGGACAGCCTTGCTTGGCGACCCCCGTGAAATGGTCGATCGACCCCAAATGGGGTCCCGACCCACAGGTTGAGAACCACTGTCCTAAAGGTTGGTCTGCCTGGAAGGAACAGATGGAGAATGGGTTTAGCAAAAAATATCAGCTTTGGCGTGAACTGGAGGAAGTACTTAGTGTCAAATCTCTGATATGTTTCTTTCTTCATAGTATAGTGGTGAGAGCACATTTGCAATACTGTATCCAGTCCTGGTCACCCTGATAACAAAAAAAGATGTTGAGACCTTAGAAAGAGTTGCAGAGAAGAGCAACTGAGATGATAAAGGGGTCTGGAGACTAAAACATATGAAGAACGGCTAAGGGAACGAGGTATATTCAATCTGAGGAAGAGAAGGATTAAGGGTGACATGAGAGCAGTCTTGCCTTATAAAAAGTGGGTGCCTTGATTAAATGTTAAAGTAAAGCTACTTGAGAGTAAAACAGACTGGATTGAAAGGCAGGGAAGATTTTTTTATTTTATTTTTTAGCAGAGAGTAAATAGAGAAATTTGATCCCTGATTTCATCCATTGGCTGGCTGTTGGACTAGATGCTTTTTCCCAATTAAAGGGAAAATATACATTTCCCTGACTGTAAAATCAAAGAACTCCTCCTTCAACTCAAATGACTGTTTCGAAAGGAGCATTTGAAAATGAGCTGGTGCTCAGGGAGATGATTGATTTCTTCGGCAAACATAACATAACAAAAACAATAGTTTGGGTCAAAGCCCTCCTGCAGTTTCTGACTCCCACATTCGGTAGCTTTCTGCTCTGCTTCAAAGAGAGGATATTTTTCCGAAAGAATTTGCTGCCTTCGTGTGAAATCCAAGGTTCTGAATCCTTAGAATCCCTCTAATTGCTTGCTTTTCCACTCTTGGTTTGCTTTTTTTTTTTATTTTGGGGAGAGTCCTTGGGTTCTGCGGAAGATACCTCGTCTCAGGTCCCTGATCATTGTGAAGAAAGAGGTACACAGAGATAACAAAGGGGTTCTCACCTGAACAGAGGTCTGGGCATGTGGTGACCAGCAGGAGCACAGCAACAGCAGTTGAGCTCAAATGCAGAAAGAGCTTCTAGCAGCAGCAGCAGCAAAAGAAGGGGGGGAAAAGGGGGTCTCAACCTCTCTCTGCGTCTCCAGGTCTTACCCTACCCCATCCCATCTTTACCAGCACAAAAACGGACTACGCTCTAGCTAAACTCTTCCCAGCCAGAGACAAAAGTGATAAGCCCTGTGGGGAAGGTGGGAAGCAGAGAGCGAAGCAGCCGTTGCAACTACGAATCCTCTCTGCCAAAAGTATAGAAGGTGAGAGCTGGCTGGCTGGCTGAGCGTGGCAGCCTAGGGAAGCAGAAGGCGGTGGAGGAGGGAATGTCTGGCTCATTGCTGGAGTCCTGAAAAGGAGCAAAATGTTGGACGCTGCTTCTTTTAGCTCAAGTGGTGCCTGCGCGCCTGGAAAGTTTGGGAGTGGGGTGGGGTGATTGTTTCTGAAACGCAAGTGGAGAAGCTGGGCTTCGTGGTGACTGTCGGAGGAGCAAAGATGTAGTTGATGGCTACACACCGCATTCCTGGGCACAGAAGGCTCACAGGTAGACATGGATGGACCCGGCTTGTCAGGAGGAAGAGATGGAGCATCTGCCACGACTAATGATAGGTTCATGAAGAAAAGCCAAGTGGAGAATACAAAAACGTCCTTGCGTGTGGTGATGGCTGCCTCGTTAGTGCTTCTCATCCTCTTCACCTTGCTGGGCAACACACTTGTGTGCATGGCGGTGATCAAATTTAGACATCTACGCTCCAAGGTGACCAACTTCTTCGTCATCTCCTTGGCTGTTTCGGATCTCTTTGTGGCTGTGCTGGTGATGCCATGGAAAGCAGCGGTCGAAGTGGCTGGTTTCTGGCCCTTTGGGGCTTTCTGTGACATTTGGGTGGCTTTTGATATCATGTGCTCCACAGCATCCATCCTCAACTTGTGCATCATCAGCATGGACCGCTACTGGGCCATTTCCAGCCCCTTCTGCTACGAGCGGAAGATGACCCAGCGGGTAGCTTCTGTCATGATTGGGGTGGCCTGGATGCTCTCCGTTCTGATCTCATTCATACCTGTCCATCTGAGATGGCACAAAGCCAGGAAGCTCCTTCCGGGTGAGGAACCAGGCTCCAACATCACCTGGATGCTCGAGGGAAACTGTGACTCGAGCCTCAACAGAACCTATGCTATCTCCTCCTCATTCATCAGTTTCTACATTCCCGTCGCCATCATGATCGTGACATATACCCGGATTTTCCGCATTGCTCAGAGACAGATACGGAGAATCTCTTCTCTAGAGAGGGCTGTGGAGCATGCCCAGAGTTGCCAAAGCAGTGAGTGTTCTCATGAGGTCTCCTTGAAGAACTCCTTCAGGAAAGAAACCAAGGTCCTGAAGACTCTGTCTGTCATAATGGGAGTTTTTGTCTTCTGCTGGCTTCCTTTCTTTGTGCTCAACTGCATTGTGCCGTTCTGCGACCCCAGCCTTCATAAGCTGGGGAAGCTCCCCTGCGTGAGTGATACAGTTTTCGACATCTTTGTCTGGTTTGGCTGGGCCAACTCCTCTCTCAATCCCATCATCTACGCCTTCAATGCGGACTTCCGGAAGGCTTTTGCAGCCATCCTGGGCTGTGGCCGATTATGTCCCAGCACTGCCGTGGAGACAGTAAACTTCAGCAACGAGTTGGTTTCCTACCACCACGACACCACCTGCCAGAAAGAACTCGGGACCTTAAGTTACCCACACTTTCTCCCTCATGCTATAACTCTTCCAGGGGAGGAGGATGAGCTCGTCTTTGACAAGGTCCCCCAATCATCTCATGGTAACAATGCAACTGCTTTGTCGGCTATTATTCATGTGGAGTATGAAACAGATCTCTCACTGGAGAAGATCACTCCCTTTGCCACCAGTGTGATGGATGAAGAGAGAACCAAGGATGATCACGCAGAGGGAGACGGAAGCAGTGAATCTTTCCCTTGGGTTAGATGAAACTTGGTGGATGCACGTGAAGGAAAAGGGATCGGGCCTAATTAAATCATTTTGTATGTCTATCTCAGGGGTAGGCAACCTTGGCTCTTTTATGACTCTTGGACTTCAACTCCCAGAATTCCTGAGCCAGCCATGCTGAGGGGAAAGGGAGAGGTTTCCAAGCTGAGCCATGCTGGCTCAGGAATTCTGGGAGTTGAAGTCCATGAGTCATGAAGGGGCCAAAGTTTCCCTCATGCTGGCTCAGGAATTCTGGGAGTTGAAGTCCACGAGTCATGAGGGGGGCAAAGTTTTCCCCATGCTGGCTCAGGAATTCTGGGAGTTGAAGTCCACGAGTCAAAAAGCGGCCTAGGCCTAGGCCAGAGGTAGACAACCTTGGCTCTTTTATGACTGGTGGACTTCAACTCCCAGAATTCCTGAGCCAGCCATGCTGAGGGGAAAGGGAGCGGTTTCCAGGCTGAGCCATGCCGGCTCAGGGATTCTGGGAGTTGAAGTCCACGAGTCATGAAGGGGCCAAAGTTTCCCTCATGCTGGCTCAGGAATTCTGGGAATTGAAGTCCACGCGTCATGAAGGGGCCAAAGTTTCCCTCATGCTGGCTCAGGAATTCTGGGAGTTGAAGTCCACGAGTCATGAAGGGGCCAAGGTTGCCTACCCCTGGTCTATCTCATCGAAAACAAGTATCGATGTATCTTATTAGAAAGTATTTCTGGAGGAATAATTGTGTTTGTCTGTTGTAGTAAAAATGTAAAAATGTTTCTTGTGGTATCTTAAGATAGTATGACATGAAGTTTCATGGACCACAGGGCTACATCGTGCATGTGATGAATTATTTTCCAGAAACTTTTATGACAGAATAAATAGTTAGCTTTTAATGTTCTTTGATTGAACATTTGATTTGGATTGGCTGTTAATAACACCTCTGTACCTTATTTCAATCACAATGCCTTTTTACCTAGCTTTTCCTATTTGCAACTTTTAATTATTTCCTCTTTATGTATTCTCATCCTGTCTGCTAAATTTAGAGTGGCAACAGGAAAGAGACAGAAAAGAGGAAAGGAGGACAGCTGACTGTTTTCCATATTCAGTGTGACGTCAAAGAGAAAATTGTGCTACCATTTTTAAACAGAGCAAAGGTATTTCAGGAGTCAAGAGTCCTATGCCCAAGGTGAAATTGACAGATCTCCATTTTCTTGACATTCCGCCGTTGCCAAACATCATTTGTAAAACCAAAAGTTCACTTTCAACTTTCTTCTTTTAGCAATCTTCAACAAAAGGAGACAAAACAATAGGAATTGGGTAATTACTGCAGAATGGGGATGACAAAAGGTCCCTTAATCATAGTCAGATTATGGCATGGCTGCGGTGGGAAGCTGAAGCATTTTTATGGCCCTCTGAAGAGATTGTCCCAGGGTTTTGCTGCTGCATGATTGTGACAGATCTAATCTACTTAGTTGCTGAAGGTAACTGAGGTTATCTCATGAATGGATATAATTAATTTATTTTGGTTCGTCACAAAAGTCAGCCAGATGTTCAGACTGGATTTGACATTTTTGTCTGCCTATCGAATCCTTCCCGAGGACCTGCCATATTATTTATTATTTAAATTATTGATTGATTGATTGATTTAGTTAATTGAGCTAACTGAGGTTACCTTGAGGTTGCTTGATTGATCCCTGGTCTAATTTCTGGAATTCTTGAAATCAGCATCACTGCTGTTAGTTAATTGCATGTATATAACCCCGTCTTTCAATCTGCATAGGCTGTTCAAGGCAACTCCTAAAAGAAAACAATAAAAGCAGTCACAAGAGGAATTAAAAGCATACTAAAATTGACTAAAACAATAAGAAAACCATCCAAAAATCTGATTGGAGATGCAATTTTCTATAGTAAGAAAGATAAGGGGCTTGTCATTGTCCCAGTCCTTACTATATTGATGTAAATCACTCAAAGTCACCTGAACTGTCAGATGGGTGGCAAATATATTTAATAAATAAATAAATCCATTGATATATACAGATTTTATGTACACACACACACATATATATATATATATGCATATTGTACAAACATACAGCTATGCACATATTTTCTAAAACATACACATATATACATATACACATATGGCACATACACCTGTTGTATGCACACATATGCATCCTACTGTGAATTCTTTCAAATATTAAATCTTTTGGCCACCAGTCTTGACCTTCTAAATGGGAACTTGAATGATGTTTGTTCCTTTAGAAACTGCCTTGCCCATCTTCCCATAGGAGAAGATGAATTAGGATTGTTATCAGGTCACACCTGTTAGGCACCCTTGTATCATTTCACAGTTCATAAATTGTTCAATGCAGAAAGGCCCCTTTGCCCTCTGTATGTCCAAATCCCGCATAGACACTCTTCAAGTAAGGTGAAGCTATTCACTGCAAGGGGGATCTTGTCTGAGACAAACCAATTAAATCCCTGATTTAAATGGAAATTAGTTGCTGAAGGAAGAAGGGCTTGTGTCAGCTACAATGGCAGCCCAAACAATTTACTTGAGCAAAGAGAGATTTCACTTGGAATCTGCACCGTGGCTCCAGAATATTCATTAAAGAATAAACTTGATTATCCATAGCTCAGAGTTTCTGTACCAAACTAAAACACTTTTTGGGTTGTGGGAAGTCAGTCCCCCAGAGAAGGAAATGTTAAAAGGGCAGGACAACATATTTCCTCAAGGATCTTAAAGAAGCAGAAACTCATGCCCAGTTTTTCCTAATAGCCCCAGGTCTCCCTCCTCCAAGCAGAAACCGGCTCTATAGAAATGCAGATGCAGGAGCTAGAAGCTTAGGAAGACAAATCACCTAAAATCTACATACCCCGCCCAAACTCTAAGACAGAACATAATAGGATTAACTCACAGATGCCAAAGGGACACAGGTCAAAATACATGACACAGGAAATACAAAGCCTCAAAACAGGAACAGGAAGCAACTCCAAACAAAAGGCTCCAGAGGGTATAAAAACCCACTCCCTACATGTGCTCGGCCCTTTTTTCCTCTTTCCAGCCAGAACCATCTTTCTGTCTGGCTCTCCTCTTCAATAAACTGCAAGCTTCTTTCTAAAGCAGTCGCCATCTTGTTTATTCCCAGCTTGGACTGAACCAAGATGAAGACTTTTCCTTCAACAGGCAAGTAGACTGCAATGAAAATTGGAGTACAGGGGAACACACTAATACTTTTCACACACCTCTGTAGGATACAATCCACTTTTACTTGTCACTGGCAATAACAATAATAGGAAGAACGATCTTTCATGTATGATCGCATGTAGCGTTCAAACACTATTCAAAGTATTGAAATTGGCTCTCTTTGCTGAGCCAAAGAGCTTTGGCAACAAAACAAACAAACTGCAAGGTGCAGAATATATAAACTTTCTGACAGTCTTAGATCA